TGTGTGTGTGTGTGTGTGTGTTTTGTGTGCATTTGTTATTGTGTCTATTAGTGTGTCTGTTTGTGTGGTTGTGGACAAGTCTTTGTGTGTGTGTGTGTGTTTATGTATAGTGTGATTATTTAATGAACTAAATACTATTACTATTAATACTACTGCGTGCGTGTGTGTGTGTGTGTGTGTGTGTGTGTGCGTGTAGGAGTCCGACTGATGAAGATGGGGTTCACGACTCGTTCTGTCAGCTGATCGAGGAACAGTGTTACGGTCGTCATGATGATGGGATGGAGATGACCCCGCTTGACCCTGACCTGGAGGATGAGAGCAGAGGTCAGATCCATAACCGCCCACTTACACAACAACAGCCAATCAGATACAGCTCACTGGTGTTCTTTGTATAAGGTTAATGTGTGTGTGTGTGTGTGTTTGTTTGTTTGTGTATATATATATGTGTGTGTGTGTGTGTTTCTCAGATGATGTGGTGTATCTGGACGGTCCGGCTCGTCATTGGTCAGAGAGTCTCAGTGATGCGCCGCAGCAGACGGATAATCTGATTGGAGAGCGCTGGTCATCTGACACACTCAAAGTGCTGTCCTCCATGCCCAGCCGCACCATCGGTCAGTGTGTGTGTGTGTGTGTGTGTGTGTGTGTGTGTGTGTGTGTGTGTGTGTGTGTGTGTGTGTGTGTGTGTGTGTGTGTGTGTATATGTGTGTGTTTGCATAACATCAGAGATGTATTTAAATGACAATATTTTGTATATATAACGTATTTCCTCGCCCCCTGTATTGATTGATATGCACATATTAACGTGTCTACTGTAGTGAAGCATATAATAATATCCACAGAACAGGATTTGCAAAGAAACTGTGATGAAAGCTCTGTTCAGCTCTCTGTGATCAGCTGCTGCTTAACAATCAGTTTCACAAGGTTAATATGTGTTTAAATCAGAGCATGTTTGTAATGAAGATGGTCAAATCGCTGTAATTCAGAAGCGCTGGAATCAGCACAGCTGTATAGTGTCAATACTAGAGATGCACCGATCCCGATACCAAAACTCTGAGTATCGACCGATACAGACCTAATCCTGATACTGTGCCTTTATACAGTGTCTATATTTCTTGTGATAAACTTTAAATAATAAATCTTCTTCAGTCATATTATCAGACCTATCGGCCTGCTGTTCACGAGAGACAGCACAATCTAGCTAAACATGATGCTTGCTGTAAACTAAGGCTGCATTATTTGAGCATTGGTTATGACGGTGATCTGCTGTGTCCAGCTTATTTTTCCTTTTAAATATTAAGATTTTTCTTTGAAATCTGTACTAGGCTACCACTATTGACATATATTGATCATGCATGCCGCTATATTTAGCTTATTTTGGCACATTTAAAATGTGTGGTTGTGAAATAATTATTTCTTTTTGGTGTGATCAGAGATAGATTTGGTAAATCCTTAATTTTGAGCCCTAAAAAAAGTCTTGNGAAATAAAACTGATTGCAATCCAACACAACCCATTGGCTCATGCACACTGAGCAAGCTCACACACAAAGTNAAATGAATGAGGAGGCATGTGGACATAAAACACACACNNTAATCAGTCATTCAGCATGCCANAATCACATTTATTTCATGTTAATATATTCTCCAAACAAGGAAACTGTGGCTAGTGAAAATGGCGAGTGGCTAGTAACTTTGGAAATCTACTAGCCACAGTGGCTGGTGATCAAAAAAGTTAATATCAAGTCCTGTGTGTAATCGTTCATGTCAAAGGGTTAAGGGGGTGTGTGTGTACGTGCGTGAATAAGGTGTGTGTGTGTGTGTGTGTGCGTGTGTGTGCTTGTGCGTGCGCGTGTGCGCGTGTGAATGAGAGAGAGAGAGCTTTGTCTGTTTGTGTGTGCTTGGTGCTTATGTGTGTGTGTTTATACACAAAGTTTGTTATAGGCTGTCTGGACTCTGTAAAGCTGGGTGGTTTTCGGCTTTGTTCTCCCCCCGCTCTTTAGTGGGCGCAGCGGGTAAAAAACAATACGGGTCGGGCAGCGGGACAACAAATGCTGAATATAAGCGGGAGCGGTCGGGTTCGGGTGAAAACCTGGCGGGAGCGGGCGGGTGCAGGATTCAAAATTTAGTCCCGCGCAGATCTCTACTGTGGTGTTTAAGACTCATAATCTCTGCTTCCTCTATCACTGACTGCTGTTTATCTGACCTGATGACCTAGAGACACACACACACACATATAAGAAAGGTGGGCGGAAACACAACCAGCCAATTTGCATTTAAAGGCACAGGCTACACAATCAGCCACACTGTCCTCTGACACCAGTATCCCCATGTTCAGCAGGGTGTACTAAATGATCTGACGGGTATTTAGAGCTGAAACTGTACACAAACACTTTCTGGAGACACCAAAGACGGATCTTACATCTTGTGAAAGGGGTTAAAGAGGAGCATTTTAAGCTGAATACTAGTGTCTAGAAGAATATCTAGTCTAATATTATTCACTGTCATCATGACAAAGAGAAAATAAATCAGTTATTAGAAATGAGTTATTAAAATAGTCATGTTTAAACATCCTTATTAACCTATAGTGAAGCCTCTAAATGTCACATTAAGCTGAACACTAGTGTCTTGAAGAATATCTAGTCTAATATTATTTACTGTCATCATGGAGAAGAGAAAATAAATGTGTTATTGAACATGTTCTGTTTCTGAATGTGTTGAACAGGGCGCAGTCGAGGCGCGATCATCTCTCAGTATTATAACCGCACCATGCAGCTGCGCAGACGCAGGCAGAGCCGGCCATCCATCCAGCACTTCCCTCACTCCGCACGGCCCAGCATACGAGGGTACGGCGTGGAGACAGACGGAGCTGGCTTCCAGGAGGAAGGTGAGACACTGAGGCTCCAGGAGAGTCATTAGCTGTGTTTCCATCCACCATTTTGCAAATGCGCATAAAAAAAAAAGTTGATGGAAACGCCATGATGTGCATAAATTTTGAAAATGCGCACAAAAAACTTATGCGCCTAACTGGGTAGGATAAACGTTTTATTCGATAAGAAAAGATGCTCATAAACTGCGATGGAAACACTTTTACCGCACAAACTCCAGCATGCACATTAAAAAGGTGATGTGATTTTGTTAAAAGAGATCATGTGATGCTTAAAATGTGTGTGAATGGACAAAACGTCAGGCTGAGCACATTATAAAACATCTGAAATGTTGTTTTGGTCATTATAAAACGCCTTACCATTTCAGTATTAATTTTATTATATTATTAATGACCTAGAACAGATTGATGCAGCTTCTCCTACTGCAGCAAAAGCAGTTTTACTGTTCATATTTGGCGCCAGTTCATCAGGAAGTGGCGATTTTGTTCGCTTTGACTCGTTGGATGGAAACGCTGCTTCGTTCGCACAACTTTTATGCGATAATCCAGTTTGGCGCATAAAGTTTATTTGCATTTTTGGATGGAAGCAGCTAATAACTGCCTGAACACTGTGCAGATTCACTCTATTGAATAACTTGCAGCAGATATCTGGCAATCATTCGCCCTCTTTTTATTCTTCTCCAAATATTTCCCAAATGATGTTGAACAGATTCAGGAAATGTTCACAGTGTTTCCTCTAATATTTGTTCTTCTGGAGAAAGTCTGATTTGTTTTATTTGGGCTAGAATAAAAGCAGTTATTAATTGTTTTAAAGTCATGTTAAGCTCAATATTATTCACCTCTTCAGCAATATTAGTGTTGGATTGTCTCCAGAACAAACCACTGTTATACAATGACTTGCCTAATTACCCTAACTTTACCCTAATTACCCTAGTGAAGCCTTTACATGTCACTGTAAGCAGAACACTAGTGTCTTGAAGAATATTATGTGCTGTCATCATGACAAAGAAATCAGTAATTAGAGATCATGGTTTCCGCTGCATTCATTCTTCCGTGGCGGGGCCCAACACCAAATTCATCCCGCCACGTCTACATTACAGCTTCTTATTCAAAATATTTGGTTGTTTTTTTAATAGCGGGTGAAAATCGCACCGAATATGTTTGAAAAGGTAAGTGAATAACAGCGCACACTTTTCTGTATCCGTAGTGGTGCTGTGCGTTCTGTTTAACCCTTTAGAGTGACGTGCTGACTGACTGACTGACAGGTGCGTGATGCGTGAGGCCAGCAAACACGGCGAAGCTTTCAGTTATGATGAACACAGTTTCCATAATTATACTTTATTTACAGATAACGGTCTGTGGCTCTGCATATATTGACTTTATCTTGCTGGAGTTTATAGCCGTTTCACTTTACTTCAGGACACATTAATGCCGCGGTCCGCTCCGCAAGTCTATCAGAGACATTCATAAATATTCCTAGCAAATCTAATAAATGATGGAGACATACTCGCTACATAAACTCACTAAATCACACTTCAGCAGCGTTTATTTGAGGGCGCGCAAGAAAATCTGCACTTGAGTAGCGTATATTTGAGGGAGAGCAATAAGTTTTGTGCATGAACAGGAAATCTGCGCTCAAGCAGAGATTGACATGCTCGTAGGCCGTTACATGAATGCGATCTCGACTGAATACTGCGCCCACGAC